CCGAAGTTAAACTTCATTGAAACTTTTCGAAAAAAAAGTTTCCCATATGGTGCGCACTTTAATGGTTACACTGTATATATTGGCTTTAACCAGTGAAAGTGGTGATCCCATTGGCAGTCCCTCATCTTGTGTAAAGAATTCGTCCTTCAGTTGGGAGTAGCAGTTTCGTACACAGCATCCTAATAGTTACATGATTATTTGTATCGTTAAGTTTGTTCTATCCTTCAGATTATCTACGGATAGCTTGCTCTTTATGATTAGAAGTGCTTCTGCTCTTTGAGTTCGATTGCCCCTAATAGTTCAACAAAATGCCTCTGAGTGGCAGAATCTCTGGGTTGATAATCGGTCTGAGCAGAACATTCTTCTTGTGGATTTTGGGTAGTCCATACATGTGAGGGGGCTTACTGTGGTGCGGTGTTAGCGATGACCCTTCTTTTTCTGAAAATTAGACTTGGTGTTTTTTCAACGTCTGGTACAAATTTTTTTCAATTGATGCAGTAGTGTCCCTTACGATCTTCGTGTATTTTCCATTCTGAAGCACCTCTTCGATCTTCTGTTCGTAGAGATCAGTATCCATCACAACAGTACTGTTTTCCTTATCTGCGGGAAAGATCTCTAGGCTCAAGCTTCTTCGTTCTTCATTGCTGAAGTTAGGTGTTGAAACTGGTTCTCGATCTAGCTGTTCTCTGATTTTGCATCTGTATTCCTCTGCCTTGATCTGATCAATAAGGGAGCTGGTGGATTCCACTGCAGTTATTATTTCTAAAGTGGGCACAGATATTGGTGCAATGGTGAAGTTTAGAACTTTCCTCAACAAGGATTTCTCTATGTTAGTGGGCGTGAACTCTTGTTGATGAGTTGTCCTGTTTTCGGTCTGCATTTGGGCCCTTCATATTTCTTCAATTCGTATCATCTGTAGCATCCTGCATCAGAGTTGACACACAGCGAGGAGAAACCAGCAAATCAGGAATAATAGTGCACGTTTGGACTCATCAACATAATATCCAGTGGGCTGTAGCTGAAATCATCCACAAGGGAAAAACACTGGTTTAGGAGAAAATTCAAAGAAGTCGCATATATGTTGTCCAACAACGCATTTAGCCAAGCTAGCGTAGAGATACGCAACGCATGGAAACCACGAATCAAGCGGAACACGACCAATTCCCGTCAAACGGTCAGCTTCCGCTAAAACCGATGAAGCGAAGAGAGAAAAAAGGGGATAAGTTAAAGCACTCGAATGACCTATAAATAGTCAGATTCCGGAGGAATAAGTCCAGTTATCACCCGAAGACGATTGTGGATACTAACAATCGAAACGTCGTGAATTAACTTGGTTTGGAATCTTTTTGATTTTTTAATTTTTCATTTCTTGTTTATTTTTCAGCTAATCTTTTTTTTTTACTTCTTCACAGATTTTTTCGAATATTTCAAATCAATTTATATCATATTAGACAATGGAAGTCTGAACTGATGAAATGCACCAAGGAACATTGTCAACTCCCTTCAAACAAACAAAGTAAACTCATCAGAAAAAATAACGCCTTCTAGTTGGATGATATTGTTATCTGATATTTCCATCATTTGCTCACAAAAATGAGTTTTTCTGTCAAAATCGTCTTCCATGAGCTCCTGAGTAGGTATCATTTTATGAGGATGCATTTTATTGTCTTTTAATATGTTTACTGTCGATGTATGGCTAACATTGAATGTAGTGGATGCCTCTCTACTCGATGATCAAGCTCGCGAAACTGCCTCTCTATTTTGCTTATTGTTTCTTGAGATATGGGCGGTAAATTAGAAAATTTCTCATGAAATAAGCGAGCTTCTTCCTGTTGTGTTCGGGTTTTATCTCCGAAACCAATCATTTATAAAACTGTTATTTCATGCATTTCCGTTAATCTAACCATTAGTCAGACTTGAATTTAACGAATTCTGAACCTAAATTGAAATACTGACAGGTGATATAACATACAAAACAAGTTGACAGGGCGTTTCAAACTAACGTTGCCACGGAAATTATTTACAGTTTTTTAACGGATATCATCTAAAAAGAACACTACTATGATTTTTGCTTACTTTCTCATTATCAATACCTCAACATGAAATAAGTTTTGACTATATTGCAATAAGTTTTGAGTGTATTTCATCGAATTTCGGTACCTACATGATGTTAATTTATTTTATCTTAATCGTTGCAATAAACTCAAAAGTGATAACATTTTTGAATAGAAAATAAAGAGTCCTTTCAAACGATATATCACAAGCCTAAAGTTCCTATTTGAAAAATTGGTGGTTGTAACTCTCATTCGACGGGGGTTGAATGTGTTGGGGTAGCAGTTTCACGATGAAGTATGTTGAATTATAATTTAAATATGATATGTTTCGAGATTTTTGAAAAGTATATACCGTAACTGAAATAATGAATTCATTCCATTTGGATTTCACACACTGTATATACCTTGAGCATTTTATGTAACTTTCTATTCTCCTTCACACCATACAATTCAAATAAATTTCTTTCCCTATTTCAATATGGAAATTGATTGTTGTGAACCATTTTTTCATTTTATCCCAGGACTACTTACGCTCAGGGAGTTGATATGAGTGTGCGTAGTAGTTGAAGCATACACTTCAAATCATATGGTAAGAAATGTTTCAGAAAATATGTTAAAAAGTTTTCTGGAATGTTTCGCAATGACCTGGGATGTTGCTGGTCTTTCCAGGATATTTCAGACTATTCTTGAATGCTCCAAAATGTTCTGGTATATTCCGTAATATTTATCAAATCAGTTATATGTTTTTATCCTTCATTTCCTTCAATTCAGGGGCAAACAAAAAATTTATTATTTGATATGAACATATAATAACCACAAAGCAAACTTAATTGATTTGAATTTACATAACTAAAGCGGAACTATTAGTTTTTCATCATTAAACCGCTCTTGAAGCAAAAAATTTATAATGAGTTGAAACGGATTCGTTTATTCCATATCATCGTAACAAGTGCAACCATCCACACGTCGTTGAATATCAGCCATGGAGAAAACAAGCTTTATATTGAACGGATTGGAACCCTGTGAACCTATACCAGAAGATCTAGTTGGAAAAGTATTGCTACAAAGTTTGAGGAGGGATGGTGGTGACAGAGATGCACTGGTGAGTAAAATATTTTCAGCTGATTTTTTGTGGTAATGTGAAGAATGTGCCTTCCAAAATATATTCAACACTATTTCAATTTGAATTTTGTAATGAAGAGTTCAACTGGTACTGACCGATTTACAAGGTGAGTGAAAGAGATTGAGAAGTTTTTTTTGCAAATATATAAAAATCTCACTATATGATTTCTATTCAGAATATCTATTACTAGCAACCTTGTCCGAATTTGCACGGGTCCAATTTTGATTTGGAATTTCTTTAGTGGCTGAGTTGAGTTTGCTTACTTAGCTATTTTTGACAATTTTTCCACTGAGAGCCACTAATTTTGCTTTCACTAAAAGCAGAGAAAACAGATTTTCTCGTAATATCTTATTTTCATTAGCTTCGACCACAAGAACTGGTACCAATCTCAGGACTCTGATGAGACAGCCGCAATCCACTCAAGGTAAGTCGTCTTTGAGGGATTTAATTTAACATTTTGTTAAGTATCATAACGGTATACAGTCCCTACTGTTCCTATTACCGTTCCGTTACAACAGAAATAATGAACTTGCGTAACGGAAAAAGTTGTTGAGATTCGGTGAAAACACAAAAGCATAAAAATAAATATAAGTATAGTATGGTTATCTCTGACCTGAATATTGTTAATAGGATAAATCGTACACCGCACCCTGAGCGTTTCGGTTCCTTGATTGTAGTAGCCATTAACTTAAAATTTGTCATCACAGATACCATTTAAAATTCTACAGAATCTTCAGAGTATTCCGTTTAGAACGTAGTTTCCAATTTATTTTGGTTGATGGAGCAAACGTAATTAATTTGGTTATTTGATCCTCTATCGAAGAATGGCCTATTATTGAATCACAAGGTAGACGACATCCGACATCGAATCCATCTTCGACCCAAAATGTATAATGAAAAACATTTTTTAATGTAGTGGTTCACGCGCATTTCCCTACCTGAAGCATTTCCAGTTAGAGCTTAAAAGTAACTCAAAGTAACTAGATTGTTTATTTATCAGGTCATGACGTAGGATATATAGGTACTAAGCGTCCCATTTCTAAAAATAATTTTTAGTGATATATTTTAATAGCTAGATTTGCATAAAGTCGATATTTTTTCCTAAGTTCCGTATGACTGTTACACATCGAACATATTTTGTAATCTCAATTTTCAGTTTTAAGAAATGCAGTTATTTCAGTTCTCAAAAATGTATCATTACTGCAGTAATCAGTGATTGAGAGATATCTACCAGAGCCAAACCTTCGAAAGTGTTGAAATTGACCTACTTACCCATGGCCAACTTTACGTTAGCATATCCCATATTGGATCTTTCCAAAATCAGCCTATTCTGTTTGCTTTGTTTTTTATTTCAATTGTTTCCAGAAAATCTCCAAGCCAGCAAACTAAAACTAACAAAAATAATCTATTCATCTACCACCAAATAAAACTACTTCATATATTGTTCACGGACACCGTATTTACCGAATTCGCCCCCTGCGACTCTTTTCTGTTCCAAATATTGAAGAGAACTATGAAAATATGGAATTTCGAGACGAATGAGGAGATAAAAACCGAACGGCTGAGAGAGCTCAAAGGCATATCAAAAAGTGCATATCAGAAATGCTTCGATGATTGGAGAAAATGCTGGCACAAAAGTACTATACCTAAGTGGGACTACTTCGAAGAAAACAAACTAGAAATTGATGGATGAATAGATACTTAAAAAAAATCAATCTCAGTTTTTGAATATACCTCGTACATACTACTCACACAGAGTTTTGAGTCGGAAATTATGTCCGAGTAATCTCTCCGCTGGAATAAAGAAAGTCACAGAACGGAACTCTGAGACAAATAAACAAACAGGTGAAATTTTTAACATGGAGAACATGAAAAAAATTAGGAAATTGGAAAATTCATATCTGATAAATTGGTTGAGGTTTCGCAGATGCAATTTTCAGTGTTACTCTCTTCATTCTGGTTTGAAGGCCGTCGTAGTTTGGAACTGCATCCTAACATTTCGCCAGCACGAGTGACTGGCTTCTTCAGAGGTTTATTCATCTTGATGATTCGCCGAGTTGTCGGTAACACTGGATCCATACCCGTCTTCGAAGAAAAAATAATGTTCTGAGGAAAAGACTGATCAGGTTTCTAAAAAAGTATAAAAATATCATCATTTTCATCTACGGATTGATAGATCATGATAAACTCAATGTCGAATAATACCGAATACTATCGATGAAATGAGGAACATTCTTGAGTTACTTCACAATAAAAAAAATTAAAATATCTACGAATGCCTTCAAGCTGAAGGTTACATGAGTATACATCAGCAACGATCTGACGAAAGAAGAAGTCAATGATCGATGGAGCATATAAAAGGATACTGGAAGCTTGCATTGGAAATCAGAAAGAACAAAAATCGTAAAAGCCAAGTTACTAATTGACATCGAAGCATACACAGTGTGTCTCACTTCTCATTGAAACACCCCCGTTTCTTCCGTAATATTCGATGTAGAACGATGAAACTCTCAGGACTGATGGAAATGCTCAAAATGCACCTACCACGTGAATGGGGTCGCCACTCGCGATGGAACACCCCATTTTTCGGTAAAACATATTAGGAGGCAAAATATGCTCAAAATTCCTTCAGATTCGTGATCAGGACTACCAACTCACTATGAATACACTTTTTACCTGAAAAAATTTCAGTCCTGAAAAATCCGAATTTGTCTCACTTCTTACGGAAACACCCCCGTATCTTCCGTGATATTCGAGGTGAAGCGATGAAACTCTCAGGACTGATGGAAATGCTCAAAATGCACCTACCTCCTGAATGGAGTTGGCCAAAGTGATATACACTGTCCGCCACTCGCGATGGAACACCTCATTTTTAGGTAAAAAATATTACAGCGCAAAATAGTTCGCTTCCAATACCTGAACCCCGTCATTCTATCTGGAGAGTACTCTCAGGTTTGAAAGATACAGATGCTGTGAGATGCTATCATCCATTTTGAGCCTATCTGAGGAAAATGTCACAGCACCACATTCTCAGATTATCGAAATAGTGTGAAGCAGTGTATGCAAAATTATCGATGGCGACATGTATTATAACTGAATATTATTCGTAAAACTAATTCTGGTTGCTGAACATCCAAATTCTATCCCAACCAGAAGTGAGAGCTCTTGATTGATGAGCAAAAACTACAAAAAATGGAAAAAATCTATATTAAAAGGTTCACATCTCGAAAACTGTACAGTTCTGACCTTTGGCTGTGGACACTTTCAATCAGCACAGCAAGAACTACAACATATCAAGATTTTGGCAAAAATTCAAGGCAAGCCATTTCTCATAAGAAATGTGCGGGGCCCTTTATCAAAATATTGAGGAAACATTTTACCATCCGAAACAAAATTATTCTTTATACTCATTGCAACACCGAAACAACTGCTTGATTTTTAAAGAAAAAATCGCACTCGGTGAACAGGTAGAATTGAGATGATTTTACTAACTTGCTGAATTGTTATCTGAAATCATTTGAAGGGATTGAATTACATCAGTTTCAGTGAATCATGCGGTGCCCTGAAATCACCTTGGAAAAAAGTTGCTCATTGATATTTACTGTCAACCTGGCAATATTGTTGAAAGATCTTGTTGTATTAACCCCCAGACCAGTTTTCATTGCATTTGTTGTTTACAGTATTGTTGTTCTTTGAATCACCGTTGTTCCTATTGTTTCTGCCGTGTTTTTGTTCCCATTGTGTTTATTGTTCCTGTATTTGTGTTGGATATTGTTTCTGTGTTGTTTTCTGTTCGTGAGTTCCTGTTCATATTTCAATATTTCTGAAGTTTCCATTTTAACAGATATCAGCTCATTTTGATTGACAAAGTTCAACATGGCATGTCTGTCAATTCAAGCAAAAATTAAAATTGTTTCAATTGTTGGTGAAGGAGTGAGGTCTTATCGTGAAGCGGCCGCTGAATTTAATAGAAAACACCCGCTAGAGGTAGCTGGAACTGTAGATAAAATATATAGTCTATTCTTGATCACCGGCCAAGTAACAAAGGACAGAAAAATTGTAAAACATCGTATTGATGATGATACGATATTGGCGGTTCATCAAACTGATGTTAGAAGTAGTTTGAGAAACTTAGCGCTTCAACTCAATATGAGCCGCAGTAAAATATGGAGGTGTTTAAAGAGGCATAAAATGCATGCGTTCAATTCCAAATTTTCACATACTTTGCACGAAGGAGATGAAATCCGCCGTATGGAGTATTGTTTATGGATGCAGGGAAATTATCTGCATGACAGGAATTTTTTAAAGTATATCTCATACAGTGATGAGGCAACCTTTACCAAGAATGGTGTTGTATCTTCCCAGAACACGAGGTTTTGGGCTGAACAAAATCCAAATTGGGTGGTGAATTGTAGATACCAAATATCTCAGGAAGTTAATGTGTGGTGTGGTATCCTGAACGAAAATATCATCGGGCCATTTTTTTTCGATCAATGTTTAAACGGACGAATATTTTTTGATTTTCTCGAAAATGAATTTTTCGATGTGTTGGAAGAACTACTTTTGGATGTGAGACACAGCATGATTTTTCAGTTAGATGGTTCACCAGTTCACAATAGTGGCATAACAAGGGTTTGGTTGAATATGAATCTACCTATGAAATGGATAGGACCCAATAGCCCTCTCGTAGTATGGCCACCACGATCCACAGATTTAACTCCACTGGATTTTTATTTATGTGGAAACTTGAAAAATAAAGTTTATAAGGATAGGCCAACAAATAGGGAAGATCTCCGTGCAAGAATTATACAGGCGTGTAGAGAAATCACACGTAGAGAACTGAGAAGAGTTGGAGGAAATAATAGAAGGCGCATAGAAAAATGTTTTCGATTGGAGGGAAATTTCATAGAAGGCACGAAAATATAAAATTGTCAACAGTTAAATAATTTGAAATTGGTTGTTTTGTTTTTTAATTGAAA